TATATATATATATTTAGTCACATTTCAATCTTCAGTGGCATGTGATACATTTATAGACATTTATGACATTTATTATTTTTTCTAATCACATATCAATTTAAACATCTGTATTTAAGATTTTTGTTTTTGTCTTATTTGTCTTAATATTAAATGAAATTAATAAGAAGCACAGTAAAAATATTTAAAAAATATAATTTTCATTAATTCTTTCATTATTATATCTATAAAAACACTTATTTATGAAGCATTTTACGCACTTCATAAATAAAATGATTGCTCATTTCATCATTAATAACAATAATAACAACAACCTTTGAGTTTTTTTTTATATTTATTATGTATATATAAATACACACACATGCATGTATATATTTCAGAAAAATTTGTTATTTTTATATATTAAATTTATTTATAATATCAATTATATGAATATAAATATAGACATATATTTGTAAATATTTTAAAAATGTATACTGTATGTGTGTGCATTTTTATATACATAATATATATACACAGAACACACATATATTATGCAAACAAAAACGTTTATTTTGGATGCAATTAATCGAGATTAATCATTTGACAGCACTACTTAAAATTAAAAATAGATTTTATAGGCCAAAAAAATGAATTTTTGTTAATAACCTTAATACAAACAACCTTAATACTCTTTGTATGCCTGCATTAAAAAGCAATGATGGCTTCACATAAAACAACAAATATTTTCATATACTTTCATTCTGATTGGATTTTTGATTGGACTTCAAATTTTTACAAATGAATTAAAATAAGTGTGTCTTACCTTGAACTGTGAGCTGGGTTTATTCTCATAGCTGACACCCACTATTTTAGGCAGCTGCATGTTGGCGGATGTGATGTTGTTATTGTTATTAATATTCTCCGAGTTTGCTCTTATTTTCTTCAGCTCCATCCCTGGAGTCAGTCTGTCTTTCGCAGCCTCCATTCGGCTGGAGATGGTGATCTTACGAATGGACCTGGACGCAGTGTTCGGTGGGGTGACTGTGTTTCGGTTCAGGTGGTCGTCGGACGTCTCTTCGCGCCGATTCTTCGCCGCAGGTCCGCAGTGCCTGTCGCGGCCGAGATAAAGAGACACCTGTTCGTTCAGGTGCCTCAGTTTGCAGTTATCCGAGAACGTCCGATTCGGAAGAAAACCATCGGGAAAGTCCGAGCACTTTGGCACGGCCGGCGCCGAGAGTTTGGTCCCGATGGTGAACGGCTGGATTTTCCTCGCGATGCTCTCCGACATGGTTCGTTCTAAATCACAAATTAAAAAGTCCAAGCTATACTCGTTCTTCTCGAATTTAGTTGTCCACCTTCTTGTGCATGTTTAGAATGCACAGGACGCAGCCCAGGATGGCCTCCTTGGACTCCTGGAAACTGATCCGCTCCCAGACGTGGCGCAGCACGGTGCCAAGGTGGCCAGCAGCCGCCGTCAGGCTTCTGCGAAGGAGCTGTGTGGCAGAGGCTGCTAATCTGCTACTGAGGAGACTGACAACCAGAGAGCGCAGCAAGAGGAAAACGGCTGGCATGCTGCCGGAGAGAGAGAGAGAGGGAAGGAGGAGGAGGGGAAGCTTTCGTGAATGAGGGATGAAGTCACCGGACCGGAGTTTCTGTTAGAGCATGTGCAAAGCACAGGCAGGGGGAGAGGAGGTTGTAAAGTCTGGCTGTCAAAACTTCCTCTCTGACTGAGAACAGAGGAGCCTGGCAATAAGAGCGGGACGGCGGAGACAGCAGGAGACCCCTGGGTGACCCTTTCGGTCAGGGTGAGGCAGCGCAACAACGCAAAACAGATGCGCTTACCTTTTAAACGTAGTGTGAATATTTAAAAGTAGCAGATCGGCATGTTTCGGAATCTTCCCTTCAAGCGAAACATTCCAAAATTGAAGATGGTCTTCAGATGTTGTCCAGAAAAGATTCTTGGCTTCAATTAAATGCAAAAACATCTGAGGTGTTTATGCTTTCAGCAGCTTCTGATTTCTGGCGTTGCGCTCGCGTCTCTGTCCGCTCTCAAATGAACCGCTTCGGACTTTCTCCCTGCATCTTTGTTCTGGGCCTTGGGAACAGTTGTTTCGACAGGTTTCGTCCCAATGAAAGTGCACAAGCTAATTTAAGCACAGGAATGCCATGTGTTCTGAACAAATGATGCCTTCAGGACTGACCTTTGACCCCTTGACAGCGTGTGGCGCTGAGTGGTCACATTTGAACAGCAGAGAAAACAACATGATGGAGTGAGAAAGCAGATGTGATGGAGGTGAAAATCTGTAAAAGATGAAAGTTGTTTTAGAATATTTGTTACCCCTCAAACTAATATTAAATGGATAGTTCACCTAAAAATTAAAATTACCCAATGATTTACTCACCTTCAAGCCATCCTAGATGTATATTACTTTCTTTTTTCAGACGAATACAATCGGAGATATATTAAAAAATGTCCTGGCTCTTCCAATCTTTGTAATGGCAGTGAATGGCTGTTGATTTTTTTAAGTCCAATAAAGTGCATCCATCTATCATAAAAAGTGCTCCACACAGCTGCGGTGGGTTAATAAGGCCTTCTGAAGCGATTCAATGTGTTTGAGTAAGAAAAATATCCATATTTAAAACTTTATAAACCGTAATCACTAGCTTCCGCAAACCGTTGCACATGCGTTCACGAAAAAGTGGCATTCCAGCGGATGACGTAGTCGAACGCGGTGATGAATGCAGAAGCACAGAGGAGCGAGCAAAACAAAACACTGGTCATGAATTAGAAGTACAAAACGAGGATTTGTAAAGAAAAATGTCGGAAGATTTCGATATAAGCCAAGAGGAGACTGGTTTTCCTTTGCTGTAAACAAAACTTGGTTCTCGCGAGACTAGCATATTCTCACCAGATATCACACTATGCTTACGTCCTACGTCATCCGCAGGCTTTATTAACCCCCTGCAGCAGTGTAGAGTAGGGGTGCACCGAAATGAAAATTCCCCCGTTTTTTGCCAATTTATTTCATTAATTAAATAGCCAAAATGTGCTTTTTACGGTTTTGTCTCAAAACAGAAAAAACTATTACAAAACAACAATTTTAAAATATTTAACATTGAACGTTTTTTAGCATTCTAGCAGAGATCATACCAACAAAGCACAATTTAAATTAAAAGTAAAGTTAGTAAATTAAGTTAGTAAAATAAAAAAAACTTTTGCCCATTTTTGAGACCCCCTTCTTGAATCAGGCATGTGATTGGCTAAAGACAAAAAAGAAGGAACAAAGGCTATAAATCTCTCTAAACGTGAAGAAAACATGATAAGGCATTCTGAAATGAAAGAAAGCAATATTAATTTCACAACAGACAAGCAGAAAATCATGATGGGCACAATTTACAAAATACCTGAGCAAAAATATGTCTGCTCCTCCAAGACAATGAGGTAGAATGGAAAGCAGACTTTCAACATTTTCAAAAGAGTTTCATATGGAAATTTGATATTTTAGCCACTGAATAAAAAATAAAAAAGTAATTGCAACTTCTCACAATTCTGACTTTTTTCCTCACAATTGCGCAATATAAACTCACAATTCTGACTTCTTTTCTCAGAATTGTGAGATATAAACTGCCTGTTATAGAGTCAGAATTGCGAGATATAAACTCACAATTGTAAGAAAATAAGTAATTTTTCCCTCAGAATTGGCAACTTGCAACTGCGAGTTTATATCTCTGTTCTGAGAAAATATGCAATTACAATATACAAACTCGCAACTGCGATAAAAAAAAAGTCAGAATTGTGAGAAAAAGTCAATTGCATACAAACTCGCAACTGCGAGAAAAAAAGGCAGAATTGTGAGTTTATGACACAATTGTGAGAGAAAAAAAAAGTCAGAATTGCGAGAAAAAAATCAGAATTGAGAGTTTATATGACACAATTGTGAGAAAAAAGTCAGAACTGCGAGAAAAAGTCAATTGAAATATGCCAGCTCGCAAGTCGCAACTGTGAAAAAAAGCCAGAATTGCGAGTTTATATCTCACGATTCTGAGAAAAACAGTCAGAATTGTGAGATAAAAAGTCGCAATTACCTTTTTGTTCATTTTTATTTGGACTTCCATAGTTTCAGAATAGACCTCAAGACAAAAGTCACAAATCTTCATTACTTTATACACTTGCCATGTTTGAACTATTTCATTTCTTTTTCTCTTTGCGTTTTTAGAGAAACAGTTGAAAACTCCTGAGCTCTCTTTTCTCTTAGGGCAGTCAAACTTTCATCCAGATTCTTTTAAGCCTCATTAAACACCCAGGAAGGACGTTTTAACAGATAGTTTAGCATTTCACCAACATTTCAGGATTAGGTTTATCATTTAGCAGATCCGTCACTCGGCAGCGGGCCATATGCTTGCGTCGCTCCTGGATATGACATGGTTAATGACTGTCGTAAAATGCTCTGGTTTCACTATGAAGTCATCCACACACAGCCTTTAATGTGTTGCAGCTTGAACATCAGAGATAATTCTATACATGAGGAGGGGCCGCGAGTGAAACGGGTGGAGTTTAGAAAATGCTGGATCTTCATTTCACATGATGTCGCAGCTCAAAAGCCTCCGCTGTTCTGATATTAAAATTCTTAGGCAAGACTGTTCAAAATTGTACTGCAACATGCCAAAACATATACTGTATCGGCATATGCACAGACAATAAATTACTGGTTCAAGGAACTTTGGAATGAGATCATTAAAATACAATTTAAAATGTTTCAAATTAATTTTACACAAGTTGGCCAGATATGACCTCAAATGTATGTTTTAAATTTATGTAAAAGAAAAATGTAAAATTATGTAAAAACATTTTTCTCACTTGCGTTGTTACAGTAATGACAAAAGATCTCATTCTCATCAAAAAAAAAAGTATGATATATTGTTTAAGCTGTAAAGGTTTTATACAGAATGAGTATTTATTTAATATATGCTGACTTAAAAAAATATATATATTGCAAATTTTACCGTATTTGAAAGAGGAAAAGGAAAACTCTAAAATTAAATTAAAACTCAAAAATACAACAAATTAATCAGAAAAATAATTCAAAATAACTCACAAAATAAATAGAAGTTGGGGAATTAAATATACTTAACGGTCATGAACATAAATGCAAAAAGTGTTAATGAAACATAAAAATAAAATAAACAATGGCCAAACAACCACCCAAAAACCTTAGCAAAAGCAAAATGTAAAATAAAAACATTTTGCTCGTGTATCTCATTTGCATTTTCCCCCAAAATCCCCATTACGGTAATGATATTACTTTGATGAGAAAAAAGTATGATTTATTATTTAAATTGTAAAGTTTTAAACATAATAATTAAATATGCAGACTTAAATGTAATAAATACTGTACAAATTTTAAAGTTTTACAACATTGAAAATAATGGAAATTACAACTAAAAAATTTAATAAATTACAACTCATAAATACGAATTTCTTATTAACTCAAATTAACTTAATTTTCATGAAAATAAATGCAAACTTTGTTAATAAAACTGCAGAAATAGGCTTAATTTTCTCAATAAAAACCTGAAAAAATATTTAATAAACTATAGCCATTATATAATAAACACACAAGCAACAGCATAGCAACACACAGACAATCACTTTAAAGTAACACTTTTTTTTCTCTTTTTTATAAATTAGAAAATGGCAAATCTAGTTAGGCTTACTTTTCTCTTTTGAAGTTTTATTAGTCTTCAAACTAGGCTTAGTCTTAATACTATTTAGAAACTAAAAAGAACAATTTTTGAATAAAGAAGATTAGAGAAAATAGAGCAAAACCGCAGACAGTAAGATTGCAGTCTCTTGCATATCAAATAAGTGAGGTGTGCGGATGGTTCTTGTTTAAATAAGTATTTTGCTCGTCTCTGAACATGATCCGGCAGCGGGAAGATGACGCTGGGCTCGATGATATCATGCCCTCCCAAGATGATGATAAAAGACATGCTGGCTGGCAGAAATTGGGCTTATATGCACTTTAATGCAGTCAATAAACGCGACAATCTCCTCTGAGATGAGCGCTGATGTCATGGCGTGACTGCGCTCATGAAATCGTGCGGTCGGATGCTCTTTTCTCTGCTCTTTGATTGCTCGCCTTCATCATCAGGCTTTGGTTTGGGGTACAAGGCTTTATGATTACAGAAAACCTTTTGCTCACTTGTTGCTAGCATTTTTTCATTTGCATTTCCCCATGCAATCGCATTACGTAATGACACAAGACCTCATTCTCATTACTGTAATGCATTAAAAAAAATTTTTTTTTAACTTTTAAAGATGTTATATGATGAGTATGTATTTAACATGTGCCAACTTAAATAGTGTAAATTTTACTGTATTACAACAGTGAGAATAATAAAATACAGCTCAAAATACTCAAACTTAAATTACTCAAAAAATGCAGAAAGTATTAATAAAATAGCATAAATATGCTTAATTTTCTCAATGAAAACAAAACATATGTAATAAAATAAAATTAAAATAAATAAATAAAAATAAAATAAAATGATATAATTATAATATTATTAGAATTTTAATTAAATATAAAATTGAAAGATTATTACTATTATTATTTATTTATTATTACAGCTTTAGATTTTCAAAGTAATATTTATTTATTTTCTCTTTACTTATCTACC